GGGGGAGTAAATCTCTCTCAGTTGTGTCCACCAGGTTTCGGAGTGCATCAGCAGGCCAGACAAGGGGGCGGGGAGGAGGGGTCGCAGTAGTCTTCCGGCAATCCATCGCCGTGATCAGATACGCTGTCCCGCAGGCTTCTGGGTTTGAGTGTGTCCACTTGAAAGTGGGGAGCCGTGACAGTCTGGGGTTCCTGCTGGTGTACCGCCCACCCCGCGACCCAGTAGTTTCCCTGGCTGAGCTAGCGGAGGTGGTCTCCAATTCGGCCTTGGTCTCCTAGCGCCTGGTGGTGCTGGGAGACTTTAACATCCATGCCGAGACCACCCTATCTGGTGCAGCTCAGGACTTTATGGCCACCATGACGACCATAGGACTGTCACAAATAATATCTGGTCCCACTCATCAAGCTGGACATACTCTTGACCTTGTTTTTGTGGCGGACAACGAAATGATTAGAGTGGAAGATCAAAACATCCTTCCGGTGTCATGGTCTGATCATTATCTGATCAGTTTTAGACTTGCTGCGACTCTTAACCTCCGCAGGGGTGGAGGACAGATTAAAATGGTCCGCCCTAGGAGACTGATGGATCCGGATGGATTCCTGAGGAATCTTGGGGTTCTTCCTGCCTTGGAGCCTGGCGATTCTATCGACGCCTTGGTGACTCTCTATAATGGGGAGATGTCCAGGGCGTTAGATACGATCGCACCCGAACGCCCCATCTCGTTGCGTCGTGACAGGCCATCTCCCTGGTTCACCGGGGAGCTGCCTGTGATGCACACGAGAAGGGGGCTAGAGCGCAAATGGAGGAAATCTCGGGACGTGTCTGATCGAGCACGGGCTAAAGCCTCTCTTAAGGCATACTCCGTGGCTATTCAGCGGGCAGCAGCCAGGATGCTAACTGGGGCTCATTACCGAGAGAGGTCAACCCCTCTGTTTAAGGAGCTCCACTGGCTGCCATTTATTTTCCGAGCCCAATTCAAGGTGCAGGTGCTCACCTACAAAGCCCTGAACGGTTTGGGACCACCCTACCTGCGTGACCGCATCTCCATCTACGAACCCACACGCTCACTCCGATCATCTGGGGAGGCCCTGCTCGTGATCCCACCCACGTCGCAAGCGCGCTTGGTGGGGACACGGGACAGGGCCTTCTCTGTGGCGGCCCCCCGACTTTGGAATGCCCTTCCAAAAGATCTCCGACAGGCCCCTACTCTAGCAGTTTTCAGAAGGAATCTAAAAACCTGGCTGTTCCGATGTGCCTTTTCAGATTAGGAATCCCCCATCCCAAGTCCTAGAAGCACTTTAGTACAACCGATGTTACTGCACACCATACCTCTAATCCTATGTTCCTCCTGCCATTTCAGCATTTTAACCCCTGTACCCCATTGCGCTGGCCGAACCAGTTTTAATCAGTGTTTTGATGTAGTTATTGTTGTTATTTTGCTTAATTGTTTGATTTGTTTTGCTTATTATTGTGTTATGTTTTATTGTATTGTGTTTGAGGCTTCGGCCTGTGTAAGCCGCATCGAGTCCTGCGGGAGATGCTAGCGGGGTACAAATAAAGTTAATAATAATAATAATAATAATCACTCGAAGCTTAAGATCTTCTGGGGAGGCCCTGCTCTCGACCCCGCCACTGTCACAAGTGAGGCTGGCGGGGACGAGGAGCAGGGCCTTCTCAGTGGTGGCCCCCCACCTGTGGAACTCACTCCCCGGGGAGATTAGATCGTCATCTTCCCTTTTGGCATTTAGGAAAAAACTGAAGACCTGGATCTGGGATCAAGCCTTTGGTCATTCTGACAGCTAACTGAAGGATCTGATGATAGACAAGGACAAATGGAATGGAATGGATATATGGACTCTGAACCCTGAGCATGAGACTGTTTTATTATTTTATTATGTACTGATGTTTTTAATTAATTGTTGAATTGTTTGTATTTGTATTGCTTGTGAATTGTTTTGGGCATCTAATTGTGCCCCCACTGTAAGCCGCCCTGAGTCCCCCCCGGGGTGAGAAGGGCGGGGTATAAGTAAATGAAATAAATAAATAAATAAAATAAAGAAAAAAAGGTGACAGGTGCCTTTAAATCTCTCCTTGCTTCTGCCTCACCCTCGGAATGTGATATATATAGTATGCCTACTTTGTGGATTTTCACTTTTTGTGGGTGGTCCTGGAATGTAACACCTGCGATAAGTGAGGGAACACTGTACATCACAAAAAATATTACTGTAGACTCCATTTACCATCCTAAGTAGACAGAAGTAGAAGAGTAAGCTTGCATGAAAATTTATTAGAAATACATTGTTTGATACAAAGCCTACCTTTAGGTAAAGGCTCTAACACAGGCATGGGCAAACTAAGGCCCGGGGGCTGGATGCAGCTCCCCTGGGCACTTACCTGAGGCCCTCCTCATTTTCCCTGTCCTCTTGGCATAAGGACATGGTGGCCTGCTGCATCCTTATGCCAAAAAGATGGAGGAGGAAGGCATGTAGCAGCTGAGGGCCCTCTGGAGCGCTCTCAGCCACCATTTGTCTCACCCTCCTCCTAACATAAGGACAGTACAAGTGACCCTATCCTGATGCCGGGAGGATGACTCAAAGGCATGTGGCAGCTGAGAACCCTCCAAGAGGACGGCCTGAGGTTCAGGGCAGTTGCTGTGTGTCCTGCCTTCCTCCCAACATAGGTATGGGGCAAGCAGCCCCATCCTTATGCTGGGAGGGCAACTTGAGGATGACCCGGGTCCTGCTGTGCTGTGCTCACAATGTGGCCCCAGGCAAAAAAGTTCTCCCATGCCTGTTTTAACACCTAGTCATCAGATTGTGCTTGGTACAGTTTTTGCCCTCTCCTGGAAGTTAAAACATGTGCAGCCCTTTTGATGGAAAAAATATTTGAAAGTGTCAGAATAGTTGTAGTTATTTCACATATATGTTTTTCAATGTGTTTGTGTTAGTATTGCAATGTGTTAGTATTGTATTTTAAAGATGGATTCAGTTATGTTCAGCTGTGTGCTAGAATTGTAGTCATTAGGGGCAGTGAGAGTAAAAATCCTTGAGACAGAGATAACAGAAATTCCTTTGCCCAGAGAAGAAAAAGGGAGTGAACCAAGCCGGATGGGCAGGATGTTTTCTTTCTGTGTGTTTAGTCTTGTACTGTGTTAGTCGCCATCTTTCATTATCATCATGTAGTCGCTTGTGTATAGATGCTTCTAGTAAAGCTATATTGGAACTGAAGAAGAATGCTGTGTGATGATTGAGTCTGTTTATTTTGGAAACCTCACGCTTGCTGTGCTGAGACCAGAGAGTCTAACTCTGACAGAAAGATCACTAGATGGAAAGTTTGCAAAATGATATCCATTTGCAAATGCAGATCTTGCTTTTCATTTCTACTGACATCTTGATGAATGGAAACCCAGCAATAACTAAAATATAGAAAATATTGTTTTATATGACAGCTGGGAAATGCTAAACATATTTAGATCTGAAATAAAATGGTTAGTACTGTGGGCCACTGGTATCCACAGAGGTATGGTTTTAGGCCCCACCCCTGAAACCAAAATCCATAGATGCTCAAGTGTCATTACACACAATGGTACAGTGGAACGGTGTTCCTTATAGAAAATGGCAAAATCAAGGATTACTTTTGGGATATTTTGGGAATATTTTCAAGTCTTGGATGGTTGAATCTGTGAATATAGATAGCCAACTGATGTTGCTTGTAGGTATATGGGTTAAACAAAAATCTAAACGATTAATGAACAACTGGAGTAAAATGGCCTGCAAACCATCACTTGCAACACTGCATCAATTGCAATGAAGAATTCTTGCAACCAGTGTTTATGGCTAAGATTTTAAAAATTAAAAAAATGCAGATCCCCACTGTGATGTTTTTAAAAGGGGCAATTCCAGTTTTCCCTCCTAAATTCCTTCCTGATTCAAGAGTACTGTTTTCCTTTGTCCTAGTAATTGCTACCATTCCTCTGGCTTGCATTTTCAAAATTTGTGAATATATTAGTGACTTAATTGTTGTAAAACCTGTTTCTTTTATCTTTGAAAGTTCACTAGAGCCTGTGAATGAGAAATATTTCAGTCTGAAAATCTTGCTACAGGGATGGCTGGCTGAAAAAATCAGGATATCCCCCCCCCCCCCCGGTATCAGGAAACAACTGCTGATACATTTCCAAAACCGACATGATAAATTTTCTTTCATTTTAAAATTATTAAAATTTGCACTAAAATTTGCAGGTATAATGCTGCTTGTTCAAGCAGCAAATCACCCAGACATTCCTGGCACCTGATGCTGCACAAGTGCTTATCCTCTTAGAGACTAAATTTTGTAATAAATTATATAATATGCAATTTCTACCCTTTCGTGCTGCCCAAAGTTGGCTGCTTGCATTGACCAACCCACTGTTCCCAATATTAGGGCTCTCCCTTATGAATAGTTTGTAATAATGCTTGCCTGATGGCCTAGGTGATGTGCAGTCTAAGTAAGAGGAGGTGGGGGACGGGATGGGACAAGACTCATCACTCAGGGGTAACATGAATGTTCCTGCAGTGGAGACTGATGCTACTTTTCAAATTATTTTTTAAATTATGCTTACTTCAGTAAAAACAACACTACAAAATGATAAACACAAAAAACACCATATGAAAACAAAACAAAACAAAACTCATATTTCATCCCCTTAAGCTATAATCAATCATCCAGCAGTCAAAGCATACTTTTCTATCCTGTCTTGAAAGAACGCAATTTCACAAGTGTACTGAACCTGATGGCGTGTGTGTGTGTGTGTGTGTGTGTGTGTGTGTGTGTATATATATATATATATATATATATATATATATATAAATATTAGATGATGGTGCTTCTTTTTCACAGTTGAAAATTTGCATGGCAGTTCTACTTTTCTTCAGACTTTGTGACACTTTTATTTAATTTGTGAAGTGTTCCTCAAAAGCTGGAAACATAGTCATCAGTGTCTATGAAGTAGAGCATGTTCTTACCCAAATGGGTGTTCATCGTCTTTGCACAGTATTTGCACATGGCTTCCAGTTCATTCAGCTGTCCTTGGAGAAATGAAATCTGAGCTTCCAACTCTTCTTCCTATAACAATATTTTAAAGAAAAAACATGGTAGCTTAAGAATAATAGCATAGTAGTATCCAACACAACTTGTCTTTATTGCATTTCCATCCCACTCTTTTTCTATGAAATACGGGGCAGCATACATCATGTCTCTATTCACACACCTGTCATTTTATCTTCATAATCTATGGAATAGCAGGAATCATCAATAGCATGGTCTGTGCTGTTCTCCGCTCTCTACTGGCCTCAATGAAAGCCTCTGTAAGGGGGTGTGATAATTCAGGAGGGAGGCCGAATGGTAGAAATTGTGTGACAGGAGATGAGTTGTAGGCATCTCTTTTGGATCTGAATACTGGGAGTGGAGACTTGGAGGGGACTAAGGACAAACACTTCTCCTAGTGAGAAGGCCATATGAAGGACCCAAGCTCTTCCTCTGGTAATAATTAAACAAAAGTTTGCCAAGGCCTGTATCTTGAAGATACACAACCATACTCTGTTCACAACAGAAATGCTCCAGATATTATTTTCTGTGTCTGAAGAACAAAAGAGAAGCACATCTATCCAGTACTCAGTTTGGCCATACAGTCATTCGGATATGCCCTGGTCTTACCATTATGCAAAGTAGCTAGATTTTGGAATGCTATCTATTATATTAATTTTACATCCTCCCTATTTTACTGCTTGAGTCATCTCTGTCTGCATTCATTTCATACAAAATATGAAGTCATCACATATTATGTTTATACTTGTAAATGTTACAATATACTTTGTCATCCCCAAATTAGTCAAACAATGCAACTGTCCTCTATTGCAACAGACAGATGGTCTAGACTGCAAATTGTGTTATATCTGTAAGCATGATTCAGTGACATTAAATCAATGTAGATTTCTTAGCTATTATCAGCCTTTTGTTAGCTAAAGCATGCTACATATCACTGATTCCTTTCCAATGTCATCATAACATTCTTCGTATGGAAAAAGGCACAAGAATATTTATGGTGCTATTATTATGCTCTTTTATAGACTTTAGTAGAACAAAGTGATCAGCTTTCATATGCCACTATTCTGACATACTTTTTTCAGGCTTTTACCAGAAGAAAATGATTGACCTTTGTATGAGGTGATGCAGACTTCTAAATTTAGAAAGACCCAAATAAATGGAAAAAAGATTGCAGATACTGACTCTGTGCAGAGTAACAGCGGGTAAGAAGTACTTGAAAAAACACTGTTGGGAATCCAAGAGTGCGGAGCAAAGCAGCTTATCAGTGATACCTACAGTCAATAGTCGTTCTGGGGAGACTGAAAGAGTAATCCACCATTTATGTACTTATTCCCTTGTGCCAACCATATCAAGGGAGGAGTCTTCAAAAATTCTATTCCGTTCATACTGCTGATTTCTCTGTTTTCCTTCAGTTTGATCTCATAGCATTGTTAACCAGACAGAAAAATACTGAATATTAAAGAACAGACAGAACAAGTATTTTTTATATCCTTGGGTGAGTGTGAGTTGCAGCTTCAGCTTCCCTGGATAGACTGCTGGAGCAACCTCTCATTCTCAGGAAGACTGAGGAATAATTTAACATCTATAATAAAAGATAACTTCCCTCTAACTTGCATAAATTTGGATTAATGGACAATGACGTCAACTCAGAGGGCTGATGTCATTGTTATAAATAGCATTAGTTTTAATAACAGAAAATAAATGAAACCTCTCAGTGGGTTGAAAGGTGACTTGGCTAACATTTTAAAAAAAAGTTAAATCCTATGAAGGAACCCTATGGACTTGGAGATGCCTATAAATCTGCCTCTCAAAGAAATATTTGTACATGAGGTGAGGTGACAATTACTTCCACTTACTGTCCAAAATTGTTGAAAAAATTGATAGTTGTGTTTTCAATAAATTAGGCCTTAAACCTTTTGCCAGATCCGATTGCAAAAATGCTAAATCTTCTTTGACAGAAGTTGAGTAATCTTGCACATTGTCCATGCACCATTTTTTGAATGATTCTAGGTATTTTCATAGATCATCTGAGTAACTATCTTGATAAAATAGTATTTGCAACTGCATCCAAGTCATCTTGATTCAACAAATTGCTCTGCTCAATCTTCAAACAGTTAACATCAACTAACCTGTTGATTGGGGTGGAGAACTGCACCTTGATGAAGTAAGTTCTCCGTTTGTGGCAATTACCATGACTACCCCACTTACATACTCATTAGCACTAAAAACCATGGCCTGCAAGGCCAATGAAGTATGATCAGAACCCCCTGGCGATGATACTTTGAATTACTGGCAGTGGTAGAAATGTATACAAGGGGCTTTTCAGCTATCATGCTTTATCTGTACATAAACTGCTATCTGTAGCACAAACTTTCTGCATCTCATTTGCAATGCTCCCACAGAAAAAAATCTGTTCCTGCTCAAAAAATCTGTTATGGTCAACAGCCCCTTCAAATAAACTGCTTTCAATGATTTTATTGCCTTTTGGACCACGTTAAAATTGTGTTGATTCCTTTATCAGTTGCTGTGAATGAGAACACTCTTGGTTTGTTAATATATTCATCAACATATTATTTGTGCATACTTTGACATGTTGACTCTGTATCATTGGGGCAAAGTGCAGCATCTCCAAGAGATGCATATGCAGAGAATTTTCCATCTCTGACCAAACTTTTCCATGCAATGAGCCATCCATTCAAACAGGCTTACATCTGTTGTTACCTTAATTTTCCCCTATGGAGTATTTACTTATTTATCATGTCAGAAGCAAATTGAGAATGCAGTTATAATATATAGAAAAACCATAAACAAAGTTAAAAACTTGGCATTATACTAAATTTCCTTTGACCAGAATTTCTGGTCAAATGAATTGCAATTGTTTGAAGATGTGTCACTTACTTACCACTTTAAATCCTAAGCAACTTTGATGCAGTCTTTTCTCAGAAGGCAAGTGGCAATTGTCTTTGTCTTCTCAATACTTACTTTGTTTATATTTTTAACCATCTCATTTATTACTGAAGGCATAGTTTAATTTCTAAATTAATGAAAATTATTCTAAACAATATTTAGAGAAAATAGAATGAGAAATAATGTCATGGAGGAAGAGATAAATAAAAAGCTTGACCAGTTGGCTAGAAAGAGGAAAGAAAACTGAAGAGAGAGAGGGGAGCCAATACTATTAATGGAATGGAAGTTTTCAGGACTCCTGCCTTAATCTGTTTGGCGCAAAGGGACAAATCCACAGGGGATTACTCATTCAGCCTGCCTGAGAATGGAATACTCTGTATTTGTTGTAAAACATAGGTATCTGCAAAAACAGATTCAATGCCATCTGAACAAAGTTGATTAAGATGCCATCTTGGCAGACACAACAGAATAATTACAAGATTTGGACTTCCATGGCAGCTAAAAACAGTGTTAACAGCAAGACAAGCAACAACAAGGAATACAGCAGTAATGATGTTAACCAAACTATTCTGCCTTGAGAGAAATCAAAGAGATGAAAATTCAACCCATTAGATCACTCTTTCTGAAAACAAACGGCCATCAGTTCTGGGAAATTAATTTCTAGGAAATGGCAACAATGCCAGCCATGTATAATATTCTGCTCTAGACCATGGTAATCTAAAGATACTGTCAGCAACTCCTTGAATTCTATCCAGAAGTGAAACAGAATTTTTGAAACAATGAAAATACTGCTGTTTCTTTCACAACTTTTCTATTAACGAAGACTATTTTTTTTTACAACAGCCACATAGCATGTTGTGTATAATTACACTACCAGTACAAGACTTGCAACTTGATTCCCTCCAAATGCTCTTGGACCACAATTTCTCACTTAATCGGCCATGTAGTCTGATGTCATTTGGAAGGTCATGAGTTGTTCACCTCAATTCTAGTAAGATAAGATTCTGAAAATAGATTTTTTTGCTTACACTAGGAACATGTAATCTATTTTCCTTTCTATAAATGTTGTAGACTTCGTAGCTGTCTCAGAACCTTGGCAGCACAACGATGTTATTCCTAGTCCAATGACACCCGAATCTACTAATGTGGACAGTCACTATCTATTTTTATAGTTTCAATCAGAGCTAGGGATTTTTCTTATTTTACAGCTGAGGCATACAAAATTTGTTTTAAACACACACAATATTTATTTTGGCTTGAAATGCAGCACTCTTTCAGGTGCGACAACATCTTTTAATCATGTGTCCATATACCACACTTGATTCTAGTTCTACCTTGTGCAAGGAACTGGCTGAAATCTTTAATCTATCTTAAAAATCTGGCTGCACAGAAAAATGTGGGTGGCGATTAAATATCACCCCAAATTATTTCTGGAAATATGTACTTAAGACTCAAATAATATGTCTCACACATCTTTCAACACAAATGAATGAAACTAAAAACTAGATATCTCATCATATCTCTGCCAGCCACTAGACCCATATTCACACATTAACAACAGAAAAAGCTAACGTGCATGCCTGATGAACCCGTGCACTGAATGCTACCTATCCTTTAGTGTGTGCTCCATCTTTTGTTCTAAACCAATGAAATCTGTTTTATTTTATCTCCAATCAAGAACACATTAGCTATTTTTCTATACAAACTGCCCTATATATTTAGGTCTTCTGAGGAATGTTTTCATCAACCAGCCAGAACTCAACTGACAACTGTCATCCAGAGGACTTTTTTGTTGGCTGCCCCTGAACTCTGGAATGATCTACTGGAAGGGATTCAACAACTAAATGAGCTCTCAGAATTTAAAATAGAATACAAGACCTGTCTTTTCCAGCAGGCCTATCTAGTCAATTTCAACCTTAGGTCTATGTCTCTTAATATATGTATAAGGTGTTTCAAAAAGATGGACCTGATTTGAAATCACTATATTTCTGCAACCATGAATTGCCAATGAATGAAATCTTAGCACTTGAAAGAGTGGGGTACAGAGTTTCAAATGATTACCACTATATAGCTCTCCTAGCATATAATGAGCCCCTCATGAAGACTTTACAGAAAACTCTATTGAATTATTCTCTGCTGAAATATAATATTAATAATATTATTAATAATAATAATAATGTGGAAAATATGAAAAAATGTGGTCAGCAAAGAATGTGTCCAAATGGTCAGAAAGGTTTTGAAGAGCAAATTAAATGGTGGAAATATGATCAAGGCTATCAACACCTGGGCCATCCAAATCATAAGATACACTGCTGGAATTGTGAACTGGACACAAGCTGGATGATCTGGACAGAAAAACAAGAAAACAGATGACAAGCCACTACTCATTACACCTGCGTAATGATGTCGACAGACTTTACCTGCCCAATAAATCAGGAGGCAGAGGACTTCTGCAGGTGAAGCATATGGTAGAAGAAGAGAAACATGCACTGGCAGTCAAGAACCAACATTGATGGAAGTCAATAGTAGAAAACTGCTTCAAGTGCAAAAGTCAAAGAGTGAAAGAGTAAAAATACAATGCAGAGCAGAAGAGAAAACTGGCAAAAGAAGGCTTTCCATGGACAGTTCCTGGGAAAAATTGAGAGCAAAATTGACAAAGAAAAAAAGTTCTGAGAGTGCCTTGGACTGCCAGAAGATCCAACCAGTCCATACTTCAGGAAATAAAGCCCGACTGCTCATTGGTGGGAAGGATAGTAGAGGCAAAGATGAAGTACTTTGGCCACATCATGAGAAGAAAGGAAAGCTTAGAGAAGACAATTATGCTGGGGAAAATGGAAGGAAAAAGGAAGAGGGCCGACCAAGGGTAACATGGATGGATGGCATCCTTGAAGTTACTGGATTGACCTTGAAGGAGCTGGGGGTGGTGACAGCCGACAAGGAGCTCTGTCATGGGCTGGTCCACAAGGTCACAAAGAGTCAGAAACGACTGAACGAATGAACAACAACAACAAGAGATTAAACCCACAAGAAATAATATGTGAAAGCTTGATTTATCCAGTTTGACAACTTTTGGTTTATTATTCAAAACCAATGAAAGTTTGGAAGGTGACTGATTACAATACATAGCTATTCCATTTGAACATATCCAAAACCCATCAATTTTGCACTTCAGATGTTTTGGACATGAACCTCTAGAAGCTCCAGGCAACATAGATAATGATAAGGATTGTGAAAATTCAGTCTAATGCTTGGGAGGGGGGCAAAGGTTTTCAGCTACTGAATAAAAAGCAGTGCAAATGATGTTGGTCATGTGCCATCAAGGACCCCAATCACATAGTATAACCTAATTTTATTTGATTAAATGAGCTATACAAAGACTAGGATTACGCATATGGTTCTTCTTCTGTCTTGCTGATTTGATTAGATCCCAATAATAAAATATGATTCCAAAGGAACACCATTTGTGTAAAACTTTCTACTCTTTCTTTTCTCTTAATTATTTTATGAAAAAATATAAATATAATAAAATGCCGGTGGTGGCTGCATTTAAACAACTGTACAGATGTATTACGTGATTATCAAGGAATATAACTAAGCATGACTGATATCAGAGAATTATTGTGGGATAAAAAAAGCATTAGACAATTTTCTCTAAAGGGAGAAAGATTACTATGAAATAGAACCGAAATGAGTAAGAATGGTGTGATCTTTCTCTCCACTCTGGTATTGATTCATCTGGTACCAACTTCATCTGGGTTTTAGAAGCCTCTAGACTCTATTCCTAACACTCCTCACCAAACAACCAGACACCAGGAGTCTCCCTGGACTTGACATGTTCTAGTTCACAGATCTGGACAGTCTTATTTGCAAATTATGGATGTTGTGCTGTCATGTGTAATGGATTGGCCTACTCTAAAGGGTTGGTGTGTAAGGAGTTGGTGTAAAGGCAGAAGCCAGGCCCAGCTTGCTGAAGCTAAGCGAGAGCTCAGGGGTGGAGAAACCAGGCAATGTCTAAGACAGAAGTGCAGTTTGATTGGTTGACAAAATTGGAGGGAAAAGCTCAGTAGCTGGAGATGGGCGGAGCCAGAGCAAAAGGAAGAAGACAGCAGCCATTTTAAGATCATTTAGGATTTTGGTGAAGGAGGAGGGGCTAGGAGTCTGAAAGGAAGGAAGAGATTTGGGAACTGTTTTGGGTTATAGGAAAGATACTTCTTTGAGGAATAATAGTTAATAGGCCTCTAAAGTGTTTTAGAGTGCTGTGTAGGAAGGGAGAACTTTGTTTAAAGAAATTCAAGAATATAAGTACCATCCTCTGTATTGAAGAAAAGCCTGACAAGTTAACTGTAACCATTAGGCTTACTGCCTGTTCAAAATAAACAACATTTTCCTGTTTTATTCCAACTGAAGTCTTTGTGTGGCTTTATGAACATATCAGTAAAGGAGGTGGCCTAATGAAATAATAAATTGGTGGCAACAGAAGAAAGTAAACTTTAATAAATAATTGGAAGGAGCAGAGGTCAAATAGAAACATACAGTGGAGGCTTTCCACTGACTGGCTTTCTGTGGAGTGAGGGTGTATGTACACTGGTTCCCTCATGGCCTTGCCTTGGGCCATGCCTTGTTGTTTGCCTTTTGTCCTCCATCTTGTGTGTGGGTGTGCCTGAGGCAGATTCTGTCTACTGTCCCTCCATTGTTTGTCATAATTGGGGGCAGTTGGTTATAATTGGTGGTACTTGGTGGGATATTCCAGGTTGTTGGGTCATATCTTCACTATATCATTCATAGACAAAGAACTAGAGTGTAGGAGAAATTATTCTCTATGAAATTAATCAGGAAATATCTCCTGTGCATCTTCTGTCTAGAGATAATTTGCCAGCCCATTTATACAAGTGAACCAGTGCACATAAGTTAAACAATATATGACACATAAATTATAGTTTGAAGGAAGAAGAGACTTACAGATTCTTTCTTGGACATACTTCTGCTGTGAGAGCGAGAATGGGAAATAGTACTAAAAAAGGATTCCTTCCTGGTTGCAGATAAAGGTGGAGACTCTGTGTATTCACGCTCCCCCGACAAGCTTTCAATACTTGGAGAAGCGCTGACATTTTTTGAACTTTGTCCTGCAAAGCAAATAGAGGGAAGAAAAAAAATCAGTGGGAAATATTTCAATCAAAGAGCTATCAGAAGTATCACTTGGTGATTTTTGGGAACAGCTCAACACAGAGTGAGATTTCATGACACCAAAGCACATCTGTCCACACATGTAAGGATATATGAAGTGCTACTGTGAAACAGACAGGCCTAAATTGAACAAGGTCACTGCAAAGCACACTCTCAAAGACCCACAAAGCAAACGTAGAAAATGAATTCACTGTACAAAGCACAGATGCTGCACTAGAAGAAACCTACCTTCAGTAGTCAATTTGTCCATAATTTGTTTTATTTTCAAATCAAAACTTTAATATTAATGCATTAAGAATTTGAAGTGAAATATCGGCAGGAGCTAGGGAAATTGTACGTAAAGGACAAAGTAGATACATATTTGAGTATGATGAGTCAGTATGCCAAAAGGAAACTCATTTTCCTTATGTAGCCGAATATAGTTCCATTCACATACAAGAGGGAAGCAGGAACAGTGTTCTGTAGAAGTACGGAAAGAAAACCCCAACTGGCATACAATACTGACTGTCTGTTGGTGTCTGTCTGCAAAAAACCAGTGCGAGGAGGGAATGGAACAGAATATCTTGGAAGAAGGACACATGGCCAGCTGATGAGGAACATTTCACAATGAAATGGTTGGTAGCAAATTCCAGCCATACAGCCTTAATCCTGAAATCATTTGAAGTTTCTTAGACACATTGTTAAGTCTATGAAAGACAGAAATTAGTTTGTAGTTAAAAAGGAAAGGTTAAACCTGTTGGAATTCAAACACGATGTCATGGAATGAAAACAAATGCATAAATCACTTTCACTTTTGGTTTCTAAACGCTGAGACAAACAAACAGTACAATACTATAATAACGCTCTGCTGCTTAGTTGTTATAGATAATTTTATCTGAAACTGTTGATCTTTTGTTCCTTTTATCGTCGTTATTTACAACACTGAAGAAATGTAACTACAACAGTTAAAGCAGTAACAGTCACAATAAAAAATAAAGTCAGAAGATAACTTTCAGAAGCTATTAAGTCAGGAAGATTAAAAGAGAGTCAGTGACTCAGGGACCTACAAATCCAAGTACAAGCACCAGGAAAACCTTCTTCATTCCATTCTAATCCAATCAAATCATATGTAGGTCTGGTGCAAAGGAATTCCTAATGGCAGGCAGGAAGAAGATACTACCATTGAACATTTTGAACATTGTGAATTTGGTGTAGAAACAAACTGGAATTAGGACCACAATTTATAAATGTCAAGCTACCTAGAGGATAATTTTATGGCCTTTAGGAATGGATATACTTTAGACGGCTAGAAATGTAATATGTTCAGAAATCTTGATGCCATTAAGAAAAAAAAAAAGAAGAGAAGACTGGTTTAACAAAATCCTTGACATAATGACCATGGATGAATTGACTTATTGGATAACACCAAACTATGGAATTCCAAACAAACCTACAAATTGGGATCCGGTGAAGGACTACCTTAAGAAACAGAAAATTGACATTACTTACTAAAAAGAGTAAATCACAAAAACTAAGCCACAAAGAAGGAAGAAACGCTATAGAAATAAACCTGAAAATACTAGTAAAAATCCTCCTAAAAAGTTCTTTTTTTTAAACTATTCTCCAACCTACCCCCTTCCCCTCCCCCAGTACCCCCTCCCCCCCCTGACCTTTCCCATATGCACCCACTTCCTACTCCCAACAAATTGAAATTTTGGAAAAAATATATTATGTGAAACATTTCATAGAATCATAGAGTTGGAAGAGACCACCTCGTGGCCCATCCAGTCCAATCCTCTGCCAAGAAACAGGAATATTGCATTCAAATCACCCCTGACAGATCTAGCCTCTGTTGAAAAGCTTCCAAAGAAGGAGCCTCCACCACACTCTGGGGCAGAGCGTTCCACTGCTGAATGGCTCTCACAGTCAGGAAGTTCTTCCTCATGTTCAGATGGAATCTCCTTTCTTGTAGTTTGAAGCCATTGTTCTTTGTCCTAATCTCCATGGAAGCAATAAACAAGCTTGCTCCCTCCTCCCTGTGGCTTTCTCTCATACTCCATCAACGTAAAAATTTGTTCATTACTTAGCATTTAAAGTGGTACTATTTGGGTTATTTATACAACTATAGAGTATGAAATCCCTAGTTTAATACAAACACAGCTATGAAAATACCCTCTATTAAAGATAGTTGAAAATTGCTGCACTGTAAAGATGTACCTTAGTGTCTGACATTTGAAGAAGAGGAAAAAACAGGTACTGTGAAAATAATAAAAAGTAAAATGAAATATATTTGGACAGAAGTAATCTTAAGCAGTCACAGTATTAAGACCTAGTCAAGTAATATATCTGAATATAAAATTTAATACACAAGTGAAAATATTGAACTCTTCAGCATCAGAAGAAGTTCTCTCCTATATGTTCCTCTCATGATGGTGACAGCACTCTCAAGTATTTTATTTATTATTATTTAAAACGTTTATATCCCGATCTTTTCTACCTCCGTAGAGGGACTCAGACCGGCTGACAGCAAGGATTCAATGCTAACAGTAAAAATCTGTTAGCATTGATACTGAAATGTATCCTTGATGTGAATACTGAATATACAGTACATATTGGAATTATTATTCTATAATACTGCATCTTCATATTCTCTAATTCCTGATATCTTTATTTAGGAGAATATAACAAGCAGTTCCCACTATGTTTCTGTTATTTTACCTTGCAAAATTTCAGGTCAGGAAATTGCTATTGCTAACTCTTAATCCCAGAAAAATAAACACCTGGAAGAAAACCAATCCCCAAAACATGAGATAAATCAGCCATGATTTTATAAAGTAATACAAACACCAAGGTTTATAAAATTGTGTATTTAATGTTTTATGACAAAAAATCGGTTAGAATACATAAAGAAGATTGATTTTTTGCCATTAATATGCTGTAAACCGCCTTGAGCCCCCCCCCCCCCCCCAGATGAGAAAGGCAGTATATAAATACAGTAAGTAAGTAAGTAAGTAAATAAATATAGTCCAGTCTTGATTTGTTCAGCTTTCTGGTTGCCAGCTGGCCTTCTATGATTTAACTTGTTTCATTAAAATATATTTATTAAGAATTTCCAAATACATTAAAAAGTATGCAGATTTAAAATCCAAAATATTCTAGCAATATGGATAAAAGTATTATGGAAGACACTTTTTCAAATACATTGGGGAATTCTCACAAATAACACTTTTAAAAAGAGAAACATAGTTGAATACAACATGTGTTGCATGATTTTCCCTTCTATGGAGCCTATTCTAACTTTCACATAATATTTCTCATTACTTATTGTTTACTATTGTCTTGTGAAAATGGGATTGTTCTCCAGCTATTAAATATCTATATATTGTTATTGCTGAGGGCAGCATGCAGTGAAACCTGTTTCCTTATAAAGTAAGAAGCAAAGTAACCTATAAACAGCATTTCTGTTGGAAAAATGCAGGCAGCTAGAAGAAACAGAAAGGTATAAATGATTAGTCTGAAACTAGGGTTGTCATAAGAGAGAGGATGCAAGGTATGGAAGCAAATGCAAGGTGAAAGAGCGAAGTATGGTGAAGATGAAGTGGAAATTGCTTATTCAAAAAGGAACGAAGAAGCAAAAGGTTACTAGAGCAATAGGCAGGGGGAAAAAACTCCTAGGGTTAGCTTCCCCCATATGGGAACACTGGAAGGGTTTTTCCCCCTGCCTATCTGGGGCAGTAGGAGGATCATAACCAAAACTACAGATGTTTCACCCATATCAGCTTGGGAAAAGGGCAAAATATGTAGATGCATCATGTAAATCTTTCATTTTTGGAACCTGTGTTTACACCATGATAAAGTACTATGTCCTTTTGGAAGACTAATTTCACATTTATTTGTCTTTGGCATCTGGTATCATCCTTTATCATGTTACTCACACAAAACAAGCATGAGTGGGTATAAAGAAATCAAAAGCAATCAGTATAATACTGCCATTTTTAAATTTCACATTTATTAACTAAAATGTAAAAAAAGTAATATATGTCTAGTAGTGTTGACAGCAGACATAAGAGGATAAATCTCAGGAAGGAAATGGATATATTAGTTGCATAGCGCTATCCTTTCCTATATAAGAATGGTACTGCTGGCAGAAGTAGAAGGCAATAGAGAGACAGAAGGCAATGGAGATTTTTATTTTTTAAATTAAAATATTGGGTTTAATTACAGCATTGAACCAAAGCAATACATCCACTAGATCAGCAACAAACGTTCTATATGGAACTCAGTTTGGAAAATTTGGCATTTAAGAATCTCTGTCTTGCTTTCTCAAAAACAATGAAGTATATGAAATCATAATGACAGGTACACCTTGAGTAAAAGACAATTGAATAGTCTGATGTTGGAATTTATAAAGTTTGGAGGACTAGAGATGCATGGAAATATGAAATATGTATCATAATATATATTGTCAGATTGAAATATTTTGAATTTACATATTTGTAACAAATGAACACAAGTGTTGGGAGAAAAGGTTTTTTTATTTAACAGTTAAAAATACTTCAGAAAACCCAAGCATTTTTCTATTTTTCATCTAATTCCTGGACACTAATGACAGAGATCAAGAGCTACACATTTGCACTGAATCGTAAACATTAGCCATGATGGCTTTGGGCAGATCTATTTAGGATCTAGGCAATGTATGACAAATTGACAATGCAGCACTTTACAAATAGTGGAGATGATTTTGACAATAACAAAAAATGAAATGAATTAAATACCAACAACAACATTAAAGAACTCCAGCTCATTAAAATGAAAAATTGAACAGAGATGCTGATGCAGAGGAAAATGGGCAAAAACAATAGAATATAGTTTTATTTTGAACTGAAGTACCAAAGTTTAAACACACACTCTCAGTCAACAACAAAATAAAGAAGAAAGTAAAATAAGTTTGCTAGATTGAAATGAACAAATATTATGCAGAAGTTCTAAATCAGATTCTTAAAGTGGTCCCAAAAAGTATCCTGATAGAAGAACCCCTCAGGCATAATACTGCATGTAACTGGGTAAGATAAAGAACATGAAATAACATTGTATTTCAGTAGCGAGTGAAGCTGCCACACACACACACACACACACACACAGAATGTAAGAACCACACTGAACATATTACATACTTCAATGAAATAAAGGAAAGTTCTTTTTTCTAAACAACAGTGCCACTCAGTGGAAATATGATGAAGGGTACACACTGGAAATGACAACACCACAAATGACACTAGTGTAAACCTGGACTCTCCAGTAACAATGTCAACATACCATGAGTTGCTGTAGCAACTGTCCCTTGGAGGGCACTTAGATTCTGGACAGGAGCAGAGACTTGAGCATCATTGCCTGTAACTACATCTCCTAGTAAATAAAGTTAAAAAAGGCTTTACAGTACCAAGAATAAAGTCTTTCAAATTTTGTACAACCAAGAATCGAAAAAGATGTTTTCTGTTGAAAATTCAGTATTTGACATTTGGTTTGCTTTTCTTGATACATCTTCGTAATAGCTGTCTGATCATTCCATTTCACTCCCTTCCTAGCTCGTTTCTCCTATACCTCTGTCTCAGTATTTTTGAATCATTTGTAGGTTTCTGAAAATAATAAAATGCTGTTTTTAACCATAAGAAATTAATTTTTGATCACTGTAAAAGAATGTACCAAAAGCATTTAAGGAAAACAATCTTATTTGATTTCGAGTGGCACATGTAAAATACACAAAGAGCTGAGATTGTTAAGCAATTTTTCAAGGGAGTGCCTGGTTAAAAAATATTTCATACTTTGTTGAGCTATTTTTTTCACAATAATACAGATCAATTGCAGTTTTATGCTAGTTTGCGATCAGTCTGTAGGATTACTGTTTGTTGAGTTATGTTTTCATATTAGAAACTAAAAAGATTACACAAAACTTCAAATGGGAAAAGAGTTGGCATTATTAATAATTAAATTATGTACAGTCTTCCAAATACTGAACAAAATAATATCTAAAATGTTATTGTGTCATGGAGATCAACATAATTTTTCTGTTCTCGCTGTTGTCCAACAGCATTGTGGTACAATAAAAAATTAACATTCAGGAGTAAAACAAAACAAAACATCCTTTTTAATTTTATGAGGTCTTTGAATCCTTGTTTTTCCATAAATTCCAATCCAAGGTAAGAACTTTTTAAAAAATGAATTTGTATGAACACAATGGGAACAATCGGTGTTAGCTAACACAGTATCTGTAGATTAAGTTTGGAAGTCTAAAATGTGGGATTATCTATCTATTGTTTTAATTTTCTTCATTTGATTATACTTTTGTTTTGGTCTTCCTTCTCTAGTTTTATTTTATTATATTCTTGACCCTTTCTTGACCTTTCAATGTCACAGATATATAGTTCTCAATTATAGGAGCTGTGCAGCCATTAAACCCCCTTTGTGCTTAAGCATGTGAACCCTAGGTTCACTTGCAAGATAGTAACCCTGTTTTCCTGTTTATGATTATCCATCTCATCACACAAGGGGCTTTTGGCCCCTTGCTCCTCTTCTGGTGCGGAGTCTGCCAAGTGCTATTACATGACACAGGCCATGGTCCCACCACATTCAAGGCCAAAGTGATCACAAGATGCTTCCTCGCCAACAACGAAAGGTAAGTTGTCTTTTGGGTAGCTCCGACAGAGTTACCCACAACTTTAGCCCTTTAGCCCTGTCTGATGGAGGCAAGGACAGGGTGCCTTGTCCCCATATGATGAAGGAAAGAGGGAGGGGTCACCGGGTTGCTGCGAGGCACCTGGTGCACCTTCCATTTTTTCAGTTTTGATGGTGATTGCCAGTGAAACAGAACTGTGTATGATGAAGTCCTATGACTAAATGTTATATAACCTTTTTATAGCCAAGATCTTCTGTACAACAAACTGTAGATGAGGCAAACCTTGAATAGCGACTGTCTGCATTTTTAAATGTATCCAGTATAATGCTGTTAGGAAAGAACACTATAACTCACACCATTTCCAACATTATAAAGAACTGTAGCAAGTAACAATCCACCTATAATAACTTATATTGTCTATTGTATATATGAAGTACGTTTTCTCCCTGAAATTATATTTGTTACACATCATGCTGGACTGTACATTTTCAGACTTTTGTTGTTGTTTATTCTAGTTGCCTAAGATCTCCTCTAATACAATTTACCACATTTGAAGCTATTTCAAGGCAGATGCACATTTTTCAATTGTCCCCATCTGACCAAGATTTTGGTATAAAATGCTAGCATCAGAATTTCTCAAAGTCTCTAAAAAGAGAAATAGGTTTTACACAACACACAGACCTAGAGATATTGCATTCTAATAAAAACACTTTCCTACGAACCTCAGCAGAAAGACTAATAGCGTATCTCAGCTATGTTCCTCTTTGGTACCAATTTTCTGCTCTGAGTCAGTACTAGTAGTGCAATGAAAAAGCAGTAACCTAATGTCTACAGTTTCATTAAACAGCTCAAACAGAGGTACATTCATGAAACTCTTTTTGAGAATGGGAACTAGTCCCTTAGAATAAGAGGCATCTCATATATTTGTGTGTGTGTGTGTAGGTCTATCTCTTGTATAAACTGACCACAGGTTTTGGGGTCAACATTATAGATTCTTATATAATCCATTGATAAGTTGAGGATTATTTTACACACGGGAGAAAGTGCCAGCATTGTTTCAGGGAGCAAATGTCCCTTGGCTGCCATTGCCATTTTCTCATCCAAGTATTTGAAAAGCTAGAAGCAGTACCACGGCTGAGAGATTAGAAGGGGTCCAGTGCTTCTTTAAGGTTCTCTCAGGACAGATCAGTCTCGCAGAATAGGATGGTTCCTTTTTGATAAGAGTTAAAAGTACAGTACTTATACTTTTTTAAAATTGTGTCAGAAGCACCTTGAGGATATACTGCAAGTCACCTCTTGTGTGAGAGAATTGGCCATCTGAAAGGACGTTGCCCAGGGGATGCCTGGATGTGTTACCATCCTGTGGAAGGCTTCTCTCATGTCCCTGCGTGGGAAGCTGAGAAATGGAAGCTCACCCCATCTCACACCGACTTTCAGGTCTTCAGGTCAGCAGTTCAGCCGATACAAGGGTTAAACCCATTGCGCCACTGTGGCTCTTTACTTACACTGATCTGTGGTTAAGTTGATCCATTTTGGGGGGGGGGGGGGTTTTTTTACAAAAAGTTTTAGACTTATCTTAGAAGGAATGCTGGCTACACAGTGTCTTGTTCATTCACTTAGTTTCAATTTATAGTGACAAATTTCAAAGAAAAAAAATGTATAAATCCTAAATGGAACTTTAGGCTCATAGCCTTACCACATCTTCAATCATTGTTAGAAAATAGCTCTGGGTAAATTTAATAGCTAACCCATAAGTTTCTGTTTATTATGAAGATTAAATATACCAATTGATATTCACAGTAAGTTCAAAATAGACAAATACGTCAATACTTTCCTGTACCCCACAGGTTTCAATAAAAAAACAACTAAAAGAAACAAATACAGGTAAAATATTTCTTTGCAATATTACTTATGTAGCTGTGAAGAATGAAGGGTTGATGTGGAGAAAGTAGTAGTGAAGATTACATGACTGCAATGACTGCTCAGTTTCTTTATTGTTCCAAAGACAGTAAGTCTAGAGGAACAAGACAGGCAGAGAGACCTAGGGGAAAGAGTATGGAAGTGTGGCTATAAGAAAGTGTAACACAGAAGTCCAAAGAGATAGCAGTGAAGCTTGGAAAAGTTAGTTTTGGCTTACTAATTCTGCATTCCCAGCACTTGGGGATTCTGAGATTTTGTCAGGAATAGTGTGAACGAGGGTTTGCTGAGTGATGGCTCAGCTGTAGAACTAGAGTATAGCCAGAAACAGCAACTCTCAGCCACATTATTATTGAGCTTACTGGCTGAACACAAGGGACTTCTGTTGAGCATGCTGAGGAAGAGTTAGCTGTTCCTGACTTTGTGGAATTAAGGAGAGAAAAATATCAGCTGAGGAGATCCTTGATGCTAGCTGAGAAGAGGGCAAGCAAGAGGGATCACCCTGTTAAAGTAGCATTTAAGGGACTGGAGTGTGTTACCCGATGGCTGACTGTAGCTTCAATAGCTATGCCAAGACTGTGGAACGTTGAACTCCTGTGTACTTTTGGAATCTGGACTGCTCTTGGACATGGGCTCTGGTCTTGTGGACTCAGCCTTTTTGCCTGTATTTCTGACAATTGGCTCTTGACCCTGGACTGGACATTCAGCTTTACCTCCTGCTTTTTTCCCTTACTTTGGTACTTCTGTGGATTCATTGGCTAGACCTTGGACTGCTGTATATTCCTGTCTGTGTTTCAAGGTCGGGGTTCCGGACAGATTTGCAGTACAAGCAGTAATGAGTTTCGGTATTGGAAAATAAAGAATAGAACAAGACTAAGTTGGTCATATTGGAATGAAGAGAAAATAAGAAGATAAATAGTGAAAGGAAAATTGAAAAAACAAATGAGTTCAGGTTGACCTAGCCAAAAGCTGAGACATTAAAAAAAATCAAGTTACAGTTGGAGTGGCTATAACCACTCTAAGGTTTCACTTTTTATTGCAGGCTATCATTTAAAAAAGTAGAAATGTCATATATTTACCTTTACTCAGTTGCACTGGAACACTTTCTGATTTCATCATTCTCTGTTGCTGCGGCTGCGGCTGTTGTGGCTGCTGCTGTGGGAGCTCTACTGCATTCCTAATGGGTACCGCAACAGATGAAAAGCTGCCACTGCTACCTACAATTGGCCCAGTAGCACCACCTGTTGTCATAGCTGGAGAAATTAGCTTTCGGCCAAAATTCAATAAGCTACTGGAAACTTTATTTATGTTCAGTGGAGCAACCTTGGCATTGACCCTGCAAAACAGACAAACAATACATATCACTGCTATTAGTAGTGTACGTGACATCAGAAAAATGGGCAAAAACATTCAGAATGTATTTGTTAAAAAGTAAAACTGTGAGGAAATGTAATAAGCAATTACATTATTGTTATTTTCGGATTATTGCGACCCTAAGGTGAACTGACCAAGGATTTGTTCAGAGAGGGTTTAATTTTGCCTTCTGAAGCCGAGAGTGTCCAGTACGTTTCCATGGTGGAGTGGGGACTTGAACCCTAGTTTCTAGAACTGCGGCCATTCAAACCAATTTAACAAACATGGCTTTCTTTAAGTTCAGAGCTACTGACAATAGACTTTTTTCAGTTGGTTCCAGAAAAAAGTAATTAGGATGTTTTTAAAAGCTGGATGCTGGCAAAACTATAATTTCTACTGTAATTTCTACCAGAACTCCAAAATACTCCAAATTCCAAAATTGTCCACATGGGTGGCCTAGAAATCCAACATTGTTATATGATTGTATAATGTACACAAGCTTTGTTTCATGCATAACATTATTGACATATTATGTTTAAAATTATCTTCAGGATATGTGTATATGGTGTATATGTATCTGTAAGTACAGGTAGTCCCCGAGTTTCAAATATCCAATGTACAAACTTCTTATAATAAAGAATGGGGATGAGACAGCAGGAAATAAGAGAAATCTACCCTTCAGAAGAGAAATTCACTTCTGAAAGAGTTATCATGGGGAAAGATGTCTCCACTGAAGCTTTATCACTAATTCTTGTTTCCACAACAAGCCAAATTTCCCAAAATCCAATTATTGCTACAGATGGTTGGTGCGTTGGTTTTCCTTTGTACGGGGGGGGGGGGGGGGGCATTTGCACATGCTTTGTAACATATATTTTTTTATTTTTGAGGTTTTAGAGTCCCTTTTGTTGTTGTTTTTTTAGTGGTGGTCACTCCTTGGGTTAGTAGGTGTCTTGTGGCCAAATTTGGTGGCAATTCATCCAGCGATTTTTGAGTAACAATGTCACTAAAAACAAACAGAACATTTTTAGATAGAGAGAGAGAGAGAGAGAGAGATATGGCTGGAGATACATTTAAAAACCATCTGTTTCAACTTACATACAAATTCAACTTAAAAACAAAGCCACAGAACCTATCTTGTTTGTAACTTGGGGACTGCCTGCATTTTAAAATCTTAAAAAATCCAAAATATGGCATTGTAAAATATATAAAAATAGTTACCGAGTTTTATTCATTAAATCTGCTCCACGCGCTTTGTAGTAATCCAGATTTTGTTGGAACTGGTAAGTCACCGGTCTTGGGTTTCTCTAAAAAAGAGAATATCATAGTAAACAAAATCATGGAAATATGCAGAACAAAGCACTATTTAGTAAAAGATCTAGCTAGATTAAAATTATATGGTAATTTTTGTTTCAAGGCTTAAAACAAGGAATACAAATCCTTGCTTTTCAAATTATCGTAATTAAATTTAATAAATCAATGTGCTCGGTTTGGGAGGAATTATTACTGAGCTTCAGGTTACCAAGTACAACCACTAGATGGTGCATATAACCTTCTCTCTAACAATTAAAACACAAGACTAGTCAAAATGCTAATCTTGAATGAAAAGAGCCATATCAGATAGAGAATTCTCAGAGTTACCCTATTTTCTCTTCAAGAGTCAAAGTGAAACATATATATCATTCAATCCAGTTATTTTAAATAATTTACTTAGATTAATGCTCTTTGAAGGCATCACAAATGCAAGACTTGAAGGGAAAAATGTAAAAAAACAATTGACAGAATAATGCATGACCTGCTACATTATGTAATTTTATATAATTTTATATACGGGTAGCTATGTGGCAGAGCCACTAGGAAATTGTGTAGATGTTTTTACAGAAGTTGATGTGAACTGGTGTACAATGCATATTAATGGGTGATGTCCATTGTTGCTAAAGACACACAAACATAACATCATTAATCAGCTTAATCCCATATACTACTGCCATGAGGTCAACATTGAGAAGAAAGAAATACCCATAATAACTGCTTTCAGGCTGCTTCCCACATTTATAGTTTTGAAGAAATCACCAAAATTTTCCAACCAGATAAGTACATAATAAACTATACAATTATATGTATTTTGTAGGAGTACAAAAGAGTTCCAGTGTCCCTGGCACAGAAGCAAAATAATAACTCTTTCTGTACAATCCGTTTTATGTACTGCTTGGCCCTAATGATAAAATTATTTTAAACTCCATGACCAATAGACATCTCTAAAGAAAATTAATATGTATTTAAACAAGCAGTTTGTTTATGATTTAATGTCAGGACCAGTCTGTATCTATAATAATGACTTAAATTGAAAAGCGGTGTAATATTGTCGAGAGGATGATTCCACTATACTCCTAATAATGCCTCCTACCCATATTGTCATCATTTTATTTGGAGAGGCATGGTTAGGGTGAAACCATGTGGTATTATCTGCCCAGTCCAAGGTCAAAGAGATGAGCCAAAAAGCCAGTCCAAGAAAGGACAATGCAGAGACAGCATCAAGGATGCAGTAGAGCCAGGAGCCAGGTATTACTAGTAAGCAAGCCAGTTCAATGCAAGGGACTCCACGGTCAAGGTCAAACCACCCAGAGTCAGCAGGACACCAGAATAGAACTATATCAATAAAAAGCTAACTCCATGGCAAGGTCCTATGCTGTAAAATATAACTACAGCAGGCAGTTATAAAAATCTGGCTGACAAAGTCTAAGCCAGTGGTTCTCAACCTTCCTAATGCCGTGACCCCTTAAATACAGTTCCGCAGATTATGGTGACCCCAACCATAACATTATTTTTGTTGCTACTTCATAATTGTAATTTTGCTACTGTTCTCAATCGTAATGTAAATATCTGATATGCAAAATGGGTTTTAATTCACTGGACCAAATTTGGCACAAATACCCGATATGCGCAAATTTGAATACTGGTAGGATTGGGGGGGGGGGGGGGGGGGGGGGGGGGGGGGGGAGGATTGATTTTGTCATTTGGGAGTTGTAGTTGCTGGGATTTATAGTTCACCTACAATCAAAGAGCATTCTGAACTCCACCATGATGGAATTGAACCAAACTTGGCACACAGAACTCCCATGACAAGCAGAAAATACTGGAAGGGTTTGGTGGCATTGACCTTGAGTTTTGGAGTTGTAGTTCACCTACATCCAGAGAGCACTGTGGACTCAAACAATGATGGATCTCGACCAAACTTGACACAAATACCCAATATGCCCAAATGTGAACATTGGTGGAGATTGGGAAAAATTTACTTGACATTTGGGAGTTGTAGTTGCTGGGATTTATAGTTCACCTACAATCAAAGAGCACTGAGCCCCACCAGTGATAGAATTGGGCCAAACTTCCCACACAGAACTCCCATGACCAACGGAAAATACTGTGTTTTCTAAAGGTCTTTGATGATCCCTCTGACACCCCCTCGCGACCCCCCCAGGAGTCCCGACCCCCAGGCTGAGAAATACTGGTTTAAGCAGAATTTTGATATTGTTCTTAGCTATTTAGCAATTAAGGTTTTTTTTGTTGCTGTTGTTTGAGCCTATTAGGCAGATGCAAGCTACTCAGGTATAACCTTTGGCTTATTCCGTGGCAGGTACACTGCTGGTAGGAAACTCTTATAGAAATCACAATATCAGTTTTAAAGAAACTGCACTGGCTGTCAATACACTTTTTGTCGAGTGGAATGTGCCAAAGGTGATATTTAAAACCCTAGAATGCTTGCGACCTTGACATGTGAAGGTGAACCTCTTTCTATATATTCTTACCCAAAAGATTAGTCTAGGAGGCCCATCTCTTTTGTCTTTTATTTACTTTATATTGGGACAAAGCGGCCTCTTCCTTTGTCTTCTATCAATGCAGCACTACCTAATGTTGAAGCAAGATGCCTTGTGTAGTGCACCATTTTCTCCTGAGAGACTCAAAGCTGATTTCATTTTTATGTCAATTTAAAATTTAGGTCTTCAAATAAGTGCCTGGGGTCTATTCATCATGGTTTGACTGTGAGCAACCTAGTTATAGATTTCTGTATATTTTGGTCTTCATTATTTCCTTTTAGTTGGTTAACATTATTGAAGTTTGTTTCATTTTCTGTACCCTGCCATGCAATCAACAGAAAAAGTATGGGATGTAAATTGCTTAATAATAGTAATAGTAACAGCAGCAGCAGTGGCAGTAATAATAAAGGTAAAGGTTTCCCCTTGACATTAAGTCTAGTTGTGTCCGACTTTGGGGGTTGGTGCTCATCTCCATTTCTAAGCCAAAGAGCTGGTGTTGCCTGTAGACATCTCCAAGGTCATGTGGCCAGCATGACTGCATGGAGCGCTGCTACCTTCCCACCGGAGCAGATTTAGATCCAAAGAAAAATGTTAATGATACCAAAGACATTTCTGTAAATACATGTTCAGTGGTGATCCAATTTACATCCCTTTGCATGGTGTTGTGGAGTGCCAATTTAGGAAATTTTGGAGGGATAAAAGGAGATTAGTAAGCCAGTGTGGTGTTGTGGTTTAAGTGTTGGACAAGGATTCCAGGAACTAGTGTTCGAATCCCTGCTCTGCTGTGGAAACCCATTGAAGGACATCTCTGAAACATTCTATTCTTTTCCAAGGTCCTAAAGAGTTTAGAATGTAGTAATCTAGGTATACAGAAACTTCTTTATCTTTATGATAATATCGTATAATGTTGAAATTGCCTTATTTTGAGATCCATTCAGTTACTCTACCAATCTCCGCCAGGGGATTAGTTAAATGGATTCTGTTTTAGTTTCAGCAGGACAAATACTGTAAACACTTAAGTAAAAGAGAGTTGGCAAGTTCTTTGTAAACCATCGAAAATGGTAATGTGCCATATAACAGTTAAGCTTCATAATAAGTCACAGTGATAAGGTTAGCACAGTCTTATACAAATAAGAATACCCAAAGATGAAAATTACTTTGCTTATGTCGCTGTATTAGAATTTTATTTGCTATAGGGTAAAACAGATTTACAAAATTCACAGTTAACTTAAAACAATAGTTTAAAACCTTTTATTCCTAGGCTTGACTGCCTTCAGGAAGAAAAGAACATCTGGTTATTTAAGGAACACAATATGTTCACATTTTCTATGACTTTTGTTTCTAATTGAGTTTTTAATTTTTCTTTATTTGAACAAATCTAGTTAGAACTGTTTTTTAATCGCTTTATATTTTTCGATTGCCATCCCTATGTATCTATTTTCCATCTGAAAGCGTCTGCTTTGAAAATTAACGGCACTTCTCATTGGTGGGGGCGCACACACACAAAAACAACTGCGGGATAGTAAAAATATAGCAAACACCTAATCTAGGTACTTTGGTGAGAAAAACACAATTTCTTACAAAACACACAAACACATTCTGTATACTGTCATTTTCATATCACTGTACCATTCAGAGGTATACTTTCATTGTAGATATATACATCTAAACTGCACAGAGTACGTAGATTTGGAATATATTGCCATTTAGCAAATTAAAATTTAGGGGATATCCTTCATAAGAAAATTTCATATAAAAGGGACTGGGCTGGATCTAGACTTAATCATATACTTTGAACAAATTTGTTTATGTGAATGGCATGCACGTTAGTCACAGCCACTTCAAATACTGTTTATTTAAATGGGTCTACTCCAGTCTGACTAAGACTACATCAAACCCATAGAGGTTAGCATTATTGATGCTGTTTCCCCAGTCTCTTTTAGTGACAGCACCTTTGAAATGTTGCAAAAGAAAATAATGTATTTATTACAACCTTCTTTAGAAGATCAAAAAGAAAGTCAAACTAAGCTAAAGAACTTTAGTAAAAACTATTATGTTGGGCAATATATTTAGAATGATCAAATCAGGCATTTTACACCTGTTCTACATAAATCACTCAAAAACTGCATGCAAATACTTTGAGAATTATATTATGCATGAAGCTGAGAATGCTGGAGGCTTAACTCAAAACCTGGTATTTTAATTTTTGCAGAATCTGAGATACTTCTTTTATTTTTAGAGCTCAAGATGTATTGATTTCACTTATTCCCTGCTTATCCTCTGAGAAGATCAGAGGAAATTGTCAGTGTTTCCCAGGCATCAAGACAGTTTTCAGGGTAAAATACTGTATAATTCTATTTTTTTTAAAAATCTTCCAGTTAGTATACCAGCTGAAAGGGACCAAATATGTATTTGATTTCAGTACAATGGAAGTTATGATTTTATTGATTGACCATCTTGTAGAGAAAGAAGAAAATTCGGTAATCAGCTGCATGAAAAACAGTTATGCAGAGGAAAAGGACAAGGAGTAGCAGTGATGGTGACTTGTACTGCTGGAATCTATGGATCAAGGTTGCATGGCTAATCTTCTTTCTGTGGATTGAAAATGTCTCATAAAGAAATGTTTTCCAAAGTTGTAAATACAGTGAATGTGTGAAATTTGGAGTTCAACTGTTTTATAAATGTAACAATATGAAAAGATATCTGAAAATAAACCAAGAACTATTTTATTAACCACATCTAACTGATAGTATACTCAGTAAGTCCTACTTCTAAGTAAATATGCATAGATTGTTCCCTTTATACATTTCTGAATATATTCTAGAAATATTCATTCAGTTATAGTAATTACAATTATAGATAGTCCTGTGATACAAACATCATGTGATACAAATTTATTTATTTATTTGTAGCATTTCTATACTGCACTTCTCACCCTTGGGAAGACTCAAACCAGTTTACACAGAAATAGTGGCAAAATGAAATGCCTTACAGGCGTACACCAAATTATAATCAACACCATAACAAAGTATAAAATCAATGCGACACATAGTTAAGGATGGGGGTGAAACAACAAGAAGTGAGAAAATTCTACCCCTAGGGAAGAGAAATTCACTCCTGGAAGAGTTATCATCGGGGGAAAATGTGTCTCCACTGAAGATTTATCACCAATCCTTGTTTTCACAACAAGCCAAAGTTTAAAAATTCAATTATCACAGAGACAGAAAGTGAGATGAAATTTTCTAAACAGGAGCACAGAAGGCAAAACAAACACCACAGGGGTGTTGACCCTTCCATAGGCTACCAAATCTTTTAAAAAATGGCTGGAATTACACTTTAAAAATGTACTTACATATAAATTCAGCTTCAGAACAAACCTACAGAACCTATCTTCTATTGTTGGAAACTGATTTGAGTCCCCCCAGGGGTGAGAAAAGCAGTAAATAAATAAATAAATAAATAAATAAAATACCTTGTTTGTAACTTGGGGGCTGCCTCATTACAATTTCCTAAAGATATACTAATTTTGTAGAAAACAGATTGTTCATATATGAGCTATTTTTCACGAATACAATTAAAACATTACTTTCATGCTTGCATGTTGTATAAGAATAGTGGTATCGTTGCAGGACAGGCTGGAAATACCTTTAGTCAATACTAAACAATCAAACTCTGATATGGTACCTGACTAGAGTAGACCCAAGTAATCTAGAGAACGTACCTATGTATTGACTCATCATTCAACAATTGATTCAATGGTGTTATTCTAGTTCAGACTAACTTAACAGGATGCCTGGTAAAATAAGAAACTTCTTTGGACTCTTGCTTCTATAGTCTCTCATATAAAATAATCACTGGGGAAGTCTAAAGTTCAACTCCAGAAATGTAACTTCTATAAGCTCTGGGGTGTTGTTTTTTTTATAGACCAAAAAGATATACATATACAAAGAAGAAACCAATACTGAAAAAAATAACTTCAATATTGTTTCTCTTTTTGACTGCACCACCAAAGTACCATAATGATATTGGGCAATTTATCTCTGTTTGCTGCTGCAGTTACTCTTTCAACTTTAACAAGTAGAAATATTTTGACAAAATTTAAGTCATATAACTTTGAACAGTTCTGAGATCTCTCTCTCTCTCATTTATATGCTGCCTTTCCACCAGAATGGCAGAAAGTAGCTCAAAAATAATAAGTAAAACCTGACTATCAAATGTAAAATAATCACATTAAAACCATGGATTATAAACAGTTTATTCATTCAAAAAACACACAAAAGTGAAAGTGGTTACTCATTAAAGATCTTTGCCTGCCAGTGAAAAGAGAGCAGGGAGGGTTCATATGTGAAAGAGAATTCCATAAGGTAGGAGCAGCTACTGAGAAGGCTCTGTGTTCTACTTTATCATCACAAACAAATCTGTAATGGCAGAATGACCAAAAGAAGCTGTCACCCAAAGATGTAAAGACTCTGGCAGGTTCATATATGGAGATAAAACTTTTGGAGTGTCTGCCCCTAAATCATATAATGCTGAATAGATCAAGAGCAGGACTTAGTATTGTGCCTCGAAACAGTCCCAGAAGCCAGTGGAGCTATTTCAACAAGTAGGTTACATGCTCCCTGTCACTGGTCCCAATCAGCATTCTGAACCAGTTTGAAGTTTCCAAACAGTTTCCAAAAGCAGTCTCATGCACAGTGTTTGATTAGTCTAAACAAGATCAAGGAAGCCATGTTTTAACATAGCCAGATCTGACTTCTCGAGGAATGGGTGCAGCTCACACACTATTATTAACTGTAAATGCACTTCTGGCCACCACTGAAATCTGGTCATCCAGCGCAGGGGGAACCCAGAACATCCAAGCTAGGAATTCTAGCATGCTAATACACTAGGATCCTGGGTTGATATAGTCCCAAACTATATTTTGCTTTACATATCTGAAGATATGACCTGCTCTCTTCTATTATCGATTTTACAGCAATCCTAAATGAGTCTTTATGATGCTTCATTTTTGTTTCTTTAATTTGAGCCAAGTGTCTTACTGGACAAAGACTCAGGTACTGGATAGAGCTCGAACAATGCTCAATACTCAATACATGAAATACACTTGGCCGTCCATGTTTGTAAATTTCACTTTTGCAAACTAGATTGTTTGTGGATTTCTCTAGGAATCTCTAGGTCCTCCAGCATGTCTCTGTGGTCAATTTCCACCAGTGAGTTGCACTGGAGGACCTAAAGATTCCTAGAGAGAACACTTACGTTAGCATTTGTAGATACTCTAGTGTGGTTCTATGGTCAGCTTCCAGCAGACATTGACCAGAATTGTGCTGGAGGACCTAGAAATTCCTAGAGATGTTGTCTCCAGGTAAAAAAGAGCTTTGAGAGTCCTACACCCCTAAACCCAGTGGGTGTGGAGGGCTGACTATATATGAAGTTTGTCCAATGGTGATTTTGCACTAGTAGAATGTACTCCTATTTATTAAAGGCACCTTAGATTTAGTCTACTATCTGCCTTTAATGACAATACCATACTGTTATGAAGAATCATCCAGTCCTCTAAAGTTGCTTTGCACATGCTGTAGAGGTGAGTGATGGCTAGTAGACAGCAGTGAAAATCAAGTGCCCTGCCCTGATTTTTTGGAAGTGCTTTCTATAAGTGTCCCGTAAATAATTCAAAGTCTCTACCAAGCTTGGATATGACTTGGCCATTATCAATGAAGCCACTTAAGAAGCAATCATCATCGTACATAATCTTGGAGATCTGTTTGCAAAATAGGAATAGCTCATGAGGCTGGATCATTCTCTCAATGTAAAAGAAAGGAAGAAGAAACATGAAGAAAGAGCCCTTTTTTGGAGATACAAAACAGATTGTGCAAAAGGCATTACAATAGTAAAGCAGAGTGAAGGAATAGTAGTAAAATACAAAACAGTGACATCCATGGAGAATAGTTATGCTAGCTTTGCAGTCTGCAATTTTATATTCCCTTCAAGAAGTGCTACCATTGCTGAAAACCAACAACCTTTGTGCTATCATAGATTATGTCATGCAAGCAATTAACAATAGTTGTGTAGTCCCCATTAATAGCTGGAAAGGCTGTAAGTAACTAACCCACAACCATTGCTTTAACACCTGAAAGTGGGAATAAAGAGCAAGAGTCTATATGGAAAAATGACATGTATATACAAGTTTGAATTTTAGCATCTTTCATTTTAGAACTGCATTGACTGCTTTATTGGACACCTTCACGATAATTTTGTCCACTGGTAACTCTCCCCTTTACTCATTACTAATCGGAAATATAATCTTTAAGGTTTTAATAACATTTGGGAATTTGCACTATTTCAGAGATTTTCACATTTGGCATATACTTGTATTAGTATTAGTATTTCTATTAGTATGACGTACCTTTGGATCTCTGAGAAAAAGAGCTCTCAAGATCAATGAATGAACATCTCCAATAGGTGGGTAATGCATCAGAAGTCCCAAGCAGGTCTGATAATTACTTGATATCACTAAAAATAAAAGGGAAAATGGTTGCTTTTCTTCTTACACAGTTTAACAAGAAAGTTACAATTTCACATGAAAGTTATAGTTTTAGCTAAGGTTTGCATTAATATGGGAATGCAGATTTGGGTCAGATTATGTTGTATCTTAAGCCACTTTATAAAAAGATTATGTAAAGTTTTGCATGCTCTTGCCACTCATATTTCATTATATATTGTAATGCTTTGATTTCTATTTTCTAGCTTGAACTAAATACCGTTGTTTCTTTTGATATTATTATTATTATTATTATTATTATTATTATTATTATTATTATAATATTTATTTATACCACATTATATTTATTTATACCCGAAGGGGACTCAAAGCAGATTAACATAAAAACGTTAGCACAGCATTTAAAATATACAAATATTAAAACAGAATTAAATATAAACAGTATTAACATTTTCAGTTTAAACCATTCAAACATATTTGATGCATATTCGAAGCTAAAACCACAGCAACTTCTGAACTAATCTTAAAAACCATATTTAAAGCCTGCCTGAATAGAAACGTTTTAGCCTGCTGCTGGAAGGAAAGCTGGGGCTGGGGGGAGGGGAAATTCTGGCTTCTCTGGGCAAGGAGTTCCAGAGTTGCAGGGCAGCCACTGAGAAGGCCTTCTCTCTCGTTCCCACCATCCGAGCTTGTAATGGAGGTGGGACCGAGAGAAGGACCTCTTCTGAAGATCTCAGGGCTTGGGCAGGTTCGTACAAGGGGATATGGTCAGCTAAATAGCCTGGACCTGAACAGTCTATGGCAGTTGTTCTCAACCTGGGGTCCCCAGATGTTTTTGGCCTACAACTCCCAGAAATCCCAGCCAGTTTACCAGCTGTTAGGATTTCTGGGAGTTGTAGGCCAAAAACATCTGGGGACCCCAGGTTGAGAACCACTGGTCTATGGTATGTTGGAAATAAATATGAGTTAAATTAAACCAACCACTTCAGGCAGGACTATGTAAATGATTTCATTTCTTACAGCACGATCTGGCAATCTAACTGTTGGAGCTGTTACGAGCAGTATATATTAATCATTTTTACAGTTTTCATCATATCTGCATAGGTAGTAATAGTGAATACATTTTAGTACAACTCTACCGTTTTGGGAACTTCTGTTTCAGAAATATCCTTTTCATTAATTAAAAACCTTGGTGAGAAACATTCTTTGAGCACAGGCAAAAATCACTGTGATTAAATGAAATCCTAAATATATTGACTGTTTTATAGCCTTAGAGACATACTAGGCTGATTTTTTTCCCTTTCATGTAAGTCAACCCCATCTCTTTCAGTACCTTTCCATCTCTCCCCAAAGAGGTTTATGAGGAAAAGATGCAGGACTGGGCAAAATGAATAATTATAATCTGTGTAGGAGCTACTTTATCATCTTCATTTCCGTTGCTGATCCGACAGCTTGTAATTTTATACATCTGCTTTCATTTGTAAAACACTCACTTATCCTACTCATTCTTTATCTGTTCTGCCTGTTTCTTTTCCGTTCCTTTTGTTTTTCTTGCTCATGTTCAGATACCTGTTTTTTCCTTCTCCTTGAAGTTAGCATAATGAATGTAATACAATAGCATCAGTCAAGAGTTCTTTCTGCTGAGTATAATAGATGGACTGCCTATTATATAAAACCAATCAAATCAAGTGTAACACACTACAAGGCAGTTATGATAAGGATCCTTTATACATTGTTAAAATAAATAATAATGCTGGATGTAGTTCACTTTCTCTAAATGGGTTTTGTGAAAAAAAGCCCACTTGATGTATTTTCTTCATCATTCCAACTGAAAACAATTTTTTAGCCTTTCTTATTTGTTTCTGCTGTGGAAATGAAGCAAAACTAATTTTATTTTTAAATATTATTTTAGTGAGTGGATTTCATTCAATGATAAAAACTAAACCTCCATTTGGAGGCACTTGCAGTTTTAAATTTTATAAAACAGCAACCATCTCATGTACCCCAAATCAATAAATAATTCTAAAGTGGAGGGGGGAGCTAAACAACTGTTCTACGGTTGGTATTACAGCAAAATTAGGACCAAAGCATTTTATACATACTGTAGTAAGGACACGTAGAATACAATCCTGTGAATATTTACTTTCAAGTAAGATCAACTGTGGTAATGTAATGGCAAAAATTAATTTGGGTAGAGTATTAGATCCAAAGATTAAGATAGATTTGTCAGTTTATAAAATCTAATTCTTAATTTTATAGCAAACCTGTTGTTGCTGTGTCTTCAAGTCATTTGTAAGTTGTAGTGACCCTAAGGTGAAGTTTTCTTGGCAAGTTTTCTTGTTCAGAGGGAGTTTTTTTCCCATTGCTTTCCTTTGAGACTGAGATAATGTGACTTGCTCAATGATGCATTTTCATGGATGAATATGGATTTGAATCCTATTCTCCAAAGTCACAGTCCAACACTCAAACCACTATACCATGCTGTCTCAAATTCATTTCCAAACATCACATAATGCTTTTATGGCAACCAGATAATAGTGGACATTTTATGCTAGTGTGCTGCCCTCACAGAATGCTCTTTTCTCGACTATTCCTGAAGTATCTTAAGTCAGGTATTTTGTATGTTGCTTAACTTATGCCATTCCGAGCACAAGATGTTGAACCTGTCAATTACCAATAAGTTGAGAGGAATTAGTCATATTCAAACTATAGTTTGTATTCGACTTTTGTGGGGTTAGGGGCACAGCCTCCTCGCAAAAGAGCCAAAATGGACAAAAGGGGTGGTGAGGGGACAGGAAAGTGGGATACCTGATGTGGACCCAGTGGGCTCCCTTGCCCCTGCCTTTTTCTTTGTCCTCCCACTCATCCCCCACCTTTTCTTTGCCTGCTCGCTTACTCCTCCCAGCTTTCTCTGCTTGCTTGCCTCCTGTCTTATTCTCGCCTCCTGCCTCATTCTCACCTCCTGTCTGCTGCCTCATTACCCTATGGCTAGGGTCCCTGCCTCATTCTCTCATGGCTAGGGCATGCATGGAGATTGCAGGTGCAGCAGAAGTAAGGATCCAGCATGGTATGCAGGACAAGTTGCAGAACTGTGCTGCTCTCCTCGGCCTCCCACCACCCTCTCTTGCTAACCAGGCCACAGAGGCTGACACCACTCCACAGGGGACTTTTCTTTCTGGGGAGGCATGCAAATCTGGCCTATGTCATTCCTCCACCACAGTCTTTCCATCATCCTCTGTTTCATCAGGGTTGCCTGGATGAAATAGAGAGACCTGCTCCTCCTCCTCTTCCCATTGTTGCATGCTATGTGCATTTCACCTGGACAAAGGGGAAGGGGTGAGGCTAATTGCTTACTGTCCGATTGCTTGCTGCCTACCTACACCTGAGTGTCCAATTTCTCCATGCCTTTCTCTGTCCCTCTATTCCTGCTATTGTTTTGCATCATTTTTAAAAAGGGATTTGTAAGCCTCATTGTGCATTCATAGTCTCTTGAGACTTTCAGTTCCTATTAATTGGCCCAGGGAATCAGCAGAGGTGACAGCAAATAATATGCAAATAATCAAATTCATGAAAGTGGAGGGCTAGCTGTATTTCTAGTTCTTAGAGTCATTTAAATCCTCAAATGACAAGTGGTACACTTGTAGCATATTTTGGTTTTATGTGAAGCCATGTATTCAACTTTTTAAAACTGGCATGACAGATGTTTGCATGGAGAGTATATTTTGCTTTTATTTAAATATACAATATTTTTCTTTACATTACCAGATACCAGTTTCCACATTAGATAGTTCCTGTATTCAGTATGTTTGTCAGTACTATCTGAATAAATAATGTGTTACTGTTCATTTTGGAGACCAAACTAAAGTTTCTGTTTGCCAGGTTTGGCAAACAGAATATCTTTTGATCTTTTTCATAGGGAAGGGGCAACTCTGACTATGAAAGAGAACCAATTGCAAAAAAAGTTTATTTCTCTGAAGAGAACAAAACCAGAGCCATTGCCTGCATTGTGAAGACTAAGCAAGCATACAAGGAGCAACTCTTTCATCAATACCTAAAATGAAAGCCAAAAGAGAAGACTGCCAGATGTTAAACCTTTTTCAGCATGAAAAAATACTGATAATATTAAACCTAGAAATTTCCTTCCCTCGAGAATAATGCGGCTTGTAGCCTGTCGTCATGAAAACTGCTTTCTTCTAAATTGGGGAGGGGGGGGCAGTGATAGTAATATTCTCAGTGCATAAGATGATGACAAGCACACCTTTACAGAACACTTTCTTCTATTTCTATCTCATCTTCAAGGCTGAAGAAGTGAGCCTTCATGAATTCAGATTGTATGTCATAAGATCATAATAAAGAGAAGTTGATAGATTAAGTCATAAAAGTCATTTCCCATTTATAGCAATTATTTGAAGATAAAGGCAACCTCCCAAAAATGTAGCTTTTAACTTTGTATGATTAAACAACTCTTTCTACTTATTTAAACAACAAAGTTTGTTCAGAGGAAAAAAGATACTTACATGATGGGCGAGTAATTATATTTCCAAAAAGTTGAAAGCATCATGACAAAAATGGTGGAGTTGGGGGATGAATTAAGATAAAAACCTGAAAGTCCAGAATGACTAATCTGGAATGACTAGCACATCTGGGCTCGAGGGACATGGCATATGACATCATTTGCAAACTCCAGTCCATACATAATTTAAAAATAAAGCAGTTTAAGAGGGGAATTAAGGCATTTAAGAACTCTCACATGCCAAAAGTATGGCAACTATAAGCTGAAGCACCTGCCTTAACTCTTGTACCATATGTTACTTGATTCCAATTCAACTGAGCTTTCAGCCAGGATATGACACTGAGACTGCTGTGGTTGCATTAATACATGACCTACAACAGGAAATGAATGCAAGGAGCATAGCCTAATGAATGCTCTTGGAACTCTTGATGGCTTTTGATGTCATCAGTCATGGCATCCTTCTGGACTGCTTAGCTGGAATATGCACTGAGGTCTCTACCGTATACTGATCTTTTGTATTAGACCAATCTCAAAAAGTCGTGTTTTGGTGTCCTTGTTTGACTTCAAGGTCTTTGGTATATTCTGTCTTCCACATTATTTCAACATCTATATAAAACCACCAAAGGAGATAATTTGGAGTTTTAGAGTGAAATGTTATCAATATGCTGATGCCACCTAGCTCTTTTGGTCCTTGTCACTTAACAACAAGGAAGCAATCTATTTCTAACTCATCTTCAAGGCAGAAGAAAGAAAATGTAATGAATTCAAATTGTATGTTGTAAAATTAGAGCAAAGAGAAGCTGATAAATTAAGTCATTTTCCATTCACAGGAGTTATTTGAAAGAGAAAGGTAGATGCCCAGAAATTTAGTTTTTGTATTTTTATCATTAAGTAATGTGTTCTGCTTTATTTTAACACCCAAGTTCTTTCTGAGGAAAAAGATATTTGAAATATTTAAAATATTGCCTTCCTAGATCTCTTGGTGTATCTTTCCAGATTACCTAACACAGTTGGGAATGGACAGTTGGCTGGGGTTCTTAATAGATTGGAGAAGGGTGAACAACCTGAAATTAAGCTCTGAAAGGATGTTGCTGGTGGTCAAAGATAAAGTGGTTTGGTGATTGGGAATCAGTCCCATCCTTCTCAAGCCCTGAGCGGGGACTCAGGGCGGCTTACATCTGGCAGCAATTTGATGCCAATACACACAACAAAACAATATAACACAAATTTGACAATAATTAAAACAATACGTTATAAATACCCAATTAAAACATTTCTAACAGCAATATAACCGCATCCAAGCATATGAATCTGCTTTGATACATTCCCTTGGCCCTTTGGTTTTTTAAAATCCAAATTCTTCCCCACTGCAGGACTCTACACTGTAATTGCCACCTATCTATAAATTACTTTCATATTAAGCTTTTTTGTTTGGGTTGGAGGGAATACGGGACACTCAAGACTGAGAACAGGTGGGGACAGGGGAAAATAACAGTTGCACCATTAAGTGAATTCAGGTCAAAGTGAAGTCTTTTATGATTAAATAAATATTATTAAATTGCAGAATGCTATTTATTAAAGAGGCTCTGCCTTCAAAGGCTAATGGATTCTGTGAGATTCTAGAAGGCTTTAGAAGATTCTATGGCTGGCATCACCAATGGTCTTGTTGAATCCCTGGTCAATACATGGAATCAAAATCTAATGATGAATATTGACACGATTGCTCCCAAATGTCTTCTCCAACCTGTTACAAATCAGGTTCCATAGTATACAGGGACCCTCAGGGAAATGAAACAGATGGCAAAAACTCAACTTCTTTGTGACACGACATGATATAGAAGACATCTCCACCCTAGCAGTAGATACACCACATCTGAAGAAGCTTTCCCTGGATCCCCTGAACCTTAAAAGTCTTTAAGCTTCCCTTTTCAGGCAAGGTGATTGAAAAGGCAGATGCCCTCCAACGGTCTGACATGACACCCATTTCCTTGACACACTGCAACCATTGAGATTGCTATGGTTGCCTTACTGGATGATCTCAGTCTTAACACTGACAATGGGTGTGTCCCTGTAGGTGCTTCTAGACCTTTCAGTGGCTTCCAATGCTATCAACCATGGTATCTTTCTGGAACACCTGGAGGGTGTTGCAGGCACTGTGCTGCAATGGTTCTGGTTGTTTCTCTCAGGCAGGTTCCAGATGGTAGTGCTTAGAGATGCCTACTCCTCAAAAAAGGAGCTGTTATGTGGCATCCAACAATGCCTTTTCTATCCCCAATGCTTAACATTTATATGAAACCACTGGGAGAGATCATCTGGAGACATGGGGCAAAATGTTATCATTATGTTGATGATACTCAAATATATTCTGCATGGTTTCAAAAACAGCCACAGCTAAGAATAGTGTATCTCCTCTGAATAAATGCCTGGAGGAGTTAATGGGCTGGATGAGGAAAAACAAATTGAAACTGAATCCAGATAAGACGGAGGTGCTTGCTGTCAAGGGTCCTAACACAGGGATGGAGATATGTTAACCAGTTCTGGATGCGGTTTAATTAATGGTGATAATGTTCAGGGAGCTGAACTGTTATTTTTACCACTCTGCTTATAATGAGTGAAGTTGCATATAAGGGCTGTGCTGGAATCAGGCTGGATGTTTTCACTTGCCTTCCACATTCTGTACAAGAGCAGCTTTGATGAAGGCAGTAATTTGGGAGTTGTAAATTACTGGCCTACCTTGTGGGGTTGTGAGTGACTGCTGATGAAGAAGCCAAACAATGCTGACAATATTTTCATTTATGTTTTTTATTGTATGCATTTTTGACTTTGTTGTACCCTGCCTTGAGCCATCAGGATAGGCGGGAAATTAATTCAATGTATTATTATTATTATTATTATTATTATTATTATTATTATTATTGAAATCTTCACTATTTATAAGCAGAGCATGGCAACTCTGATCATAAGAGTCTAGTGATTGTAGAAGAGAATTCTAACGTATTGCATATGCCTTTACCTAACAGTGAGGAACAATGAGGAACTCTGATTCCTGTCCATTCTCCACATGCTGGACCTTATACTGAAACAACGCAATGTATGGCTTTGATAGCTAGCTGTATATTGACATTTGAAATCTTGTTTGTGGTGCAAAGCTTTCTGCTATTTCTATCTCTGTTACCAAATTTTCTGTTAAATTTGTGCAGAGACAATCTACTTTGTGCAGGAACAATTTACTGAAGAGCAAGGAGCAACTGATGTCTGGTATTTGCTTTGTGTTAGGAGGCATCAATAAGTAGCTTGTACTATTCCCTTTATGTTAATGTTAAAACGTTAGTGCTGAGATCTATACTGTACTATTGTTGTTCAATCAAAGATAAAGGTAGTATAAGAACAAAAAAGAAAAAAAGGGGAGGGGGAAGAGAAGAAACACTTCACTAACTCTACTCGAAACATTTTTAGCATCCATGCTCTAGAAATAAGAATAAAACAAAAGAACAACCTGGAGAAAGCTTATTTTCAAATGATCTTTTGAGTTTTAATCCAAATACATTGTTGCAGCCAATTTGAAGATCTAAAGCACTGGAAACAGAATATTTAAGGCATTGGAGTCCATCAAAATAAAGTGTGAATAATTGTTTGCAAGATTTGGCTCTAAAATACTACCTACAGGTGTATGACTCTTGCAGGTTAGCTAATACAACCCTTTCACTGATTTAATCATAAAGTGTTTATAGACTTTTAGTGTTGGAATGCTTCCAGATTTTTTTTTTAAAAAAATCTGCTTTAGAAAGGCAGGCTATTTTAAGATAGGAGTCCCTGTTATTGTAATCTGTACTTTCTTTAATTTATCATATTATGGTTCTGCATATGCCTTGACCAATCAAGATACATTGGAAGGATTTATTATTATTTTAACAACAATCTTTTATTTAGTTTTTTATATATTGTGGCATCTATATAAAAACTTGTGTGTGTTCTATATACTCCCATGCATTTGTGCTTTTAATCCTCAATGTATAATCCTCTAACCTAGAGGCTCCAGATCCCATTTGATCCTGGAAACTTAACAGGATCTCTCTTGGTTAATATGTGGATGGGAGACACCCAATGAATACCATGTGCTAACAGTAAACTGGGCGATTTGGAAGGCGCTGAACAGACTGAGCTCTGGCACCACGAGATGCAGAGCCAACCTTAAGAAATGGGGCTAAAAAATGGAATCCACGACATGCGAGTGTGGAGAAGAGCAAACTACAGACCACCTGCTGCAATGCAACCTGAGCCCTGCCACATGCACAATGGAGGACCTTCTTGCAGCAACACCAGAGGCACTCCAAGTGGCCAGCTACTAGTCAAAGAACATTTAATCAACTACCAAGCTTGCAAACTTTGTGTTTTGTTTGTCTGTTTGTTTGCTTGTTAAAAAATGCAATGCAACTGTCTGGTCTGCCCCTGGCACGATAAATAAACAGTAAGATTTCAGAGAAGGGAACAGATAAAACCACCTCTGAATATAGCTTGTCTAAGAAAACCCTGTGAAATTTGTAGGTTGCTATATGGCGACAGGTGACTTGAAAACATCAATGCAAACACTGTAAGCATTTAAACTAATTTGATGTACTGAAGTATAAACATATATACATAGAAGTGTGTTTTATAGGTGAGTGTGTATTGATATGTATATAGTATTTTAAAAGAAATGTTGCCTTTAATATTTTGTTGCCCAGTTTCAGAAATGCAAGCAATATTTCAGTAGTGAACATAATGTTTTACACAGTACACCCCATCTGACAGAAGGAGGAGCTCTATGCTTACTTTGGCCACATAGTTTTAAGGAATGTAGCTTACAGTTCTGCATATCAAAAGCAGTCTAGTAAAAATAGGAGCCTAAGAAATGATTTTAAATAGCAATGTTATTGCTTTCTTATATATTGTAAACAATTTGATACCAACTCCAATTAAAATTAATCTTCCATTAGAAATATAATGGAAATTTTAAAAAGATATCCATATTTTTTAAAAGATAACATAATTGATACTCACAGGCATCTCTAATATACAGCAACATGGCTAAGAAAACATAGTCAACTAAGTCGAGAGTGATGCTGTCAGCAAATAAAGCATCCCAGACAACTAGAAGGTCTTGTAGTGGAAATTCTCGTCCAAACAGAAGCCTTACCCATCGCCTAAAAAGAAATTTAATAGAACATATCAAAAGATGCATAATGCTGCCCAAGAATTAATGGTGTACAAGAAAATAGAAAACACACTATCTTATACAATTTGTACTTAGATATGCATCTATACATTGTTGGTTGGTAGAATATAGCAATGGAATTCAAGAGAACTTAAATTAGTCATGGCTACTTTATTCCCCATGAGGTCCAATAAGTTGACTTCAAGTATTATGAAGCAGATCCAAACTGGGATGATAATAATAATGATGATAATAATAATAATTTTAATTTTTTTGGCCATCTCTCCTTGTGGTTCGAGGCAGGGCACAACATAGCTAAAAATAGATCATCATAAAAGTAAAATAGACATATTAAAATGTATTTCTATGAAATACATACTGGTATATTAAAATGCACAGAACAAAAATTGAAGGACAATAAATACTGTCTGTTTGTAATGAATATGTACACTGTGTCTTAACTTGATCAGAAGAACAGAAGTGTTATGGTATGGTCTTCAAGCTTGTCTGTTTTCCTTTTCATTTGCTTATTAAGTGACTCAAGCAGAACACCTCCAAAACTTGTGTCACTAAAAATGTACAGATGACCTCAGCCACAACAGATTTAAATGAAACAGATGAGACTGTTTTTCTTTCTTTTTTTTTTAATTACTTGGTGATCAGAAATGGGTGCATCATTTTAAGATAATATTAACCCACCTAAATTTTAGCTTAAGTTATTGCTTAAGTTTTGGCAATCTCTAGTCAGTGCAATATGGAAATAACTTTCAAGAGTAACTTATGATACAGTAGGGTTATTAAGGAATATAATAAACTATTTAACATCATCACAATAAAAGTACAATGATATGTATTTCTAAATATTTACGTTAAAAACTTGCAGAGATGTTACAACAGAAGATGTGGAAGATACACCAAGGAAAGCTAATTGTACACATTGTGTTTTATGGTATAGTAGAAATCCATTGCTCAGTGACTAGCCCAGGGGTCCTCAAACATTTTGAACAGAGGGCCAGGTCACAGTCCCTCAAACTGCTGGAGGGCCGGATTATAATTTGAAAAAAAACCATGAATGAATTCCTATACACACTGTACATATCTTACTTGTAGTTCAAAAAACACTTAAAAACAATACAATAATTAAAACGAAGAACAATTTTAACAAAGATTAACTTATTAGTATATCAATGGGAAGTGTGGGCCTGCTTTTGGCTGATGAGATAGGATTGTTGTTGTTGTTGTTGTGTGCTTTCATGTCATTTCAGACTTAGGTTGACCCTGAGCGAGGGCCGGGTAAATGACCTTGGCGGGCCATATTTGGCCCCTGGGCCATAGTTTGAGGATGCCTGGATTAGCCTATAGGAAACGATTACCTTTCATTGTCACATACATTACTTAGACTCTTTAGGAAGGTAATCATTTTAAGTGGAGGTTATACCTTTTGTTAAACCTCCAAACTCAGTAGCACTATAAGCATGTCAGTTGATTTAATCCATAACTACCTAATGCAGCTTGGGAGGATAAAACTAATACATTGTAAAGAGAACAAAAATACTCCAAGTCTTAACAGGATTTGTTATTAGCCTTTTATCAGAAATCTCTTCTTTGTTCTTTGTCATTTTATTATATAGTGCTAATCATTTGTAGATGTACATTTATTTTGCTCAAATCAAAGTCAGTCAGTTCTTTTCCTCCCCTTATTGTGCTTTTACATTTTCTCTCGAGAATATTAACTCATAGTCCCTAGAGATATCCTGTTTTCTCAGATGTAGACAGCTGAAGAACTGGACTGCTTTAGTAACTGTAATGCTGCCATTAATGATCTGAAGCTCTCTGATTCAATGGGTGTAAGCACTTTACACAACTGTAAATGGATATGTACTGATCTGTTCCTTCTTAGTAATATTTTCCTTAAAGCATCCAAAAATTAAGGGATCCATGGTCTCTGAACTACGTTCACAAATGGCTTGACTTCAGCAAGCTATCATAAAAAGAGATGCTTCAAAGAATTAAGTTCCAGGTTGGAGTGTTTGCTTACTAATTAACACATACTTATTGCTTTTTCAAATATTTAGAGACAATCTAAGTTTCACGTAATGATACCATTGGACAAGTGGAGACCCTTTCTTTTCAGATAGCTGTCTATAGTTTAATTATAGCTCTGTCCTGTCCTGTTAATTCCAATTTCACATCTGCTACACCTGCACATTATCCTTGCTCACAACAGTATACCCTTTTATCACATTCAGTAACAAAATAATTCTTATTTTGCAACAGCAACATAGCAATTGCAACCAACCCCATCCTCAAAAAAACAACAACAAAAACCAAAAAAGCAAAAACCCATACACCAAGTTTTTTTTTAAGAAATGGCAAATGATAAAGAGTTGCTACAAGTTCTTTGATGGAATGTGTAATTCCATGTTCTATACATGTGATCTATGTAATTAAACCATAATTTCAAACAATTCCTAATTACTACCCACAGACTACGGCTTAAAAATGACCTGCAACAGAGAGAATTTAATGATCTGGAAACTACAAAGAGTGGCATTTTTTTTTTAAAAAAGGAAATGTAAACTTTAAAATAAAAGCATTTTCATTAAAGATTCTTGGCAAAAGGGTTGCTGTGAGATTTTTAGGCTGTATGGTCATTTTGTGTGTGTCTGTGTGTGTCAGGAGTGACTTGAGAAACTGCAAGTCGCTGCTGGTGTAAGAGAATTGGCCATCTGCAAGGACATTGCCTAGGGGATGCCCAGATGTTCTGATGTTTTACCATTCTTGTGGAAGGCTTCTCTCATGTCCTTGCATAGGGAGCTGGAGCTGACAGAGGGAGCTCAACCCGCTCTCCCCAGATTCGCACTGCTGACCTGTTGGCCAGCAGACTGCCAGCACAAGGGTTTAACCCATTGCACCACCAGGGGCTCAATTGTCATGGTCCAGAAGAATTATGTCCTGACGTTTCACCTGCATCTGTGGCTGGCATCTTCAGAGGTTCAGAACTTCTGAAGATGCCAGCCACAGATGCAGGCGGAACATCAGGAACATGGCCATACAGCCCAAAAAACTCACAGCAATGCAGTGATTCCGGCCATGAAAGCCTTCGACAACACATTTTTGGCAACAATTTATAAATAGGACCTTGGAGAGAGACCACCAGTCAGAGAAGGAAATACAGGGTGATAGGGATATATGGCATGACTCCACATAAAGACATTTTAATCTCCAAATTGGTTTTTGAGGGGATTTTCTTAATTTTTCTTGGTTTTAGACAATCAGATTTTGGAGCATAATGAAGACTTTATGCATAAATGCAACAGTATTTGTGTTCTTTTAAATGGTTCATTTTTTTTCTAGAATTTGCTGAAATAAAATACATAGTAGAGCTGTGGGAAAATTCAGATGAAGATTATAAATTGGTAGTATTTTGGCAAATTTGTACTTACTATGTGATTTACGAACTCAGAGCTCCCCCCCCCCCCCGTCGAATGCAGACGAATCGAAACACCCATCTCCAAAAATTTTGGAAGAAGTTCATTTGTTTTTGTATGTCTCCATGAGTCAGCTTGTTTTTGAGCACAAGAAAACTCTCCTGGGGGGTGTAGCCAAACTTGCTATGTTACATGTGGTCCTCAGGAGCTCATTTTTGGTCGATTCTCTAATGCTTTTGTGTTCAGCCGCCAGTTTAACAATCACAGCCAGCCAGTAGCAGCAGCAGCCAGCTAACCACAGCTTAGGAACTCTTTATAATCTTTTTCTTTGTGTGTGTGTGGGGGGGGGGGGGGGGGGGGGGTGGGGGTGGTGGTGGTGGTGTCTGTTTACTCGGATTCATTTAGAGAGTGACTTGGCCAAGGTGCTGAAATTGAAAAAAAAAACCCAAAAAATCAGCGGATTTTCTGAAACTTTGGAGGAATTGTGCCCTATTTATGTTGTGTCATTGCAGAGAAATTCAAGGGAATTGTTCTTGTAGTTTTTTAAAAAAAATATTATTTGTAAATGTTTTGAAAAATTCCCAAAAATCAGTGGATTAGTGAAATGTTCTGAAACTTGGGCAGTTATAGTGGTAAACGTGTCCTACAAGTGTAGTATGTTTCATCCTGATAGCCATAAAAATGATGGCGAAACTAGCCCTGGAAGTGTTTTAATTGTCGCAAATAGGCAGATTAACAAATCAAAATACTAACGATTTTTGGTGGTTCGAATTTGAAATAAAATGGACCCCTCAGGATAGTATAGAAACACTTACAAAACAAAACAGGGGGCATAAGGAATTCGTATTTCAAAATGAAATGATTTTTTGGCATTCCACACACCTCTAATATATAGTCATGTTGGAATAGATGTAGCTTGTGAAAGTTAAAGGTCACCTTGGGCCCCACTCTGGGAGAATGACAGCATACAAAGCAAATAAATAAACAACCTGCTTGGTTGGGGGCTACCTCCTAATCATTAAATCATAGAGGGTGCTTGCAGGTCAATCTTTTTTTAGAATGGCATTGCCTCACTCATGAACAGTTAGAAGAAGTTCAAATATCATTTTCAGTTAGCAACTTTACCATTTTTAAAATAGTTTCCTTCATTTTTAACTAATTAAAATAAAATTATGTTGAGGAGAAAAGAGAATAGTGCATAATGCTGTATATCAGTGAATGATATTTAGATTCTTTTTTGAAGTATCTTTGGAAGTACATTCTTCCTAGCATTGAAGGTAAGTAACATTTTTGGTGTCATTATGTTGATAACAGTGTGGCCCGAACTTTCCAAAAGCTGCACATAAATATTAAACTGAGCAAGATGAAACCTTGTCAACTTGATTGCTAATCAAGTTAACTTCCATGGAAGTGCCAATTAACTATGTCATCAAATCACCCCATCAAATTGGATCAAAAACATTTCTTAACATTGTTTGATATATGGGGAAGCATTCTAGCAGATATGGAGGGCTCGCAATTGGTGTGGAATAATACAGAAGTACTAAAGAATGTTAAT